GCGCCAGAGGAACGATGTGGTGTGCATGGTATCTCCATCAAATTCAGATTTCCGCTTTCCTTGCCTTCCTTTTCTACATGACCAGGCCATCAACGGCCTGATTGCGTGCTCAAATGTTTCTCCGCGCTCTTAACATGATTCCCTTGCCCATATTCCTGTCATTTCCTTCTCCTTCAATGCCATCTATATCCTGATTTCCAAGTATCAATCACCCTCTTAACTCAATGTTTGCTTTTCCTTCTCCTACGTCCATCAGATATCATCCCCCTTCCAAGCCCACTACCCCAGACACTTTCTAGCTGCTAAACCGCTCCCGAATCAACTGCTGAGATTCGGGGCCAAATTGCTGCAGTACGGGGTCGGGCGAAGTACCGGTGGCTTGCAACAGGTTCTTGACAGCGGCAATCACGCGCGCGAGAGTCTGTCCGCTCAAAACGTCCACCTCTAGCGCCTGTGCAACATAGTAGAAAGCCTTGGCGGGTTGCGAAACAACGACAGGATGTTGCCTATTTTCGGGTCAGTATTTTCCACGTCGCCATGTCAGGACAAGAGACTTACTTTTCAATGAGCTGGGTCATGAAGGCATAGGCATAGGGCGCCGCCTCCTCGTCGTTCAAGACCGGCAGTGTCTCAAACCACTGTGTCGCAACCTGGTCGGGGTTGGCGACTTGAGAAGAGTTGAAGTGCAGGATCTTGGCGATGGCAGCGCAGGCATTCTCCGTAGCATAGACGTTGTCCTCGTTCCGCGCATCTGGGATCTGCGTAGCCTTGAAAAGAACCTCGACGGCTTGGCCCACCAACGGCGCCCAAGCCTGGCCGCCATGGTGGGCAGCCACACCGATGCCATATGCCGCCGCCTGACGAATGGCGGGGGAGGCATCCTGGCAGCCGAGAAGCAGAGGCTCCGAGATGTACTGGGCGTAGTGAATGCTCTCCGCGCCACAGTATTCTAGAACGTCATCCATAATGCACAATCCCCACTGGCGCTGCGTGGTGTCATTCGAGCTCAGGAAGCTGCTGTAGGTGGGAAGCAGGCGGCTCCACGTGCTCAAGAAGCTTGCGCCGTGATACTTGAAAACGGCATGGAACGCCTTGTTCATGTCCGAAAGGAGCGTTTGGTCATCCTCAATGGCCATCTGCATCTCTTCCGACTCATCCTCACCATCTTCACCTCCCTGTTCCTCTTCGCGAGCGGCTGCCCGATCCTTGTAATCCTCGAGCGTAGAGTGAACGCCGTCGATGAAGCGGGTCATGTGCGTCTCATCTAGGCAGGCAGTGCCGATAACCTCGATGGACTCATAGAAGCATTGGTACATCTCCGCGAGCGTATCAATGGCAGGCTCGGCGCTAAGAACGTCGAGAAGCTGAACGACAGTGCTGGTCCACAGTCCCTTGAGCTCGTTGGACCCGGGGCCGTACTGCTTCTTGTACGAAATGAGCAACTGCGGAACAAGCTTTGCCGACATGTATCTGACAGGGTCGTGGAAAAAGAAGGCAAGGCCTGGAAGAGCAATCTTCTCCATGATGTCTGCGACATAAGGCGCAAAGTCACCCTCAAGAACCTGAGCATACACCACTAGAAGCTCAATGGCCATGTTCTTGTCGTCCATGGTGCTGGTACGAATACCAATGGTCTTACCACGGAGCGGGACAAGCTCCCACCCTTCCTCGGTCTGCAGCTGCTCAATCTGCTCGTCGTCTTCCAAAAGCTGGATATCGGCCTTAGCGCTAGCGAGCTCGAGGAGTGGCGGCATAACCTCGGGCAGGTAGGGAAGGAAATCCCTCCCCAGCACGCGGCACATTCTTCCCCAGCAGTGCATGAGGTACTGAGCCTGAGGATCGTCGGGGTCGGTAATGTTTTGCTGGATGCTGGCCAAAAGCTGCACCAGCGCCATGGCATCAGCGCCGAGGCGCTCCTTTCCAACCGCAAGGGCGATCAGGGTGGCGCACTCCATTGCCTTTGCGCGGAGGAGGCGGACCTCCTTCTCATTCTCGCGCTGCAAAACGCCCATCAACAAGGGCATAAGAGTATCATAGTACTTGGCAAATGCCTGCTCGGCGGCGTCAGCAATGGTGGCGATGGTGGACAAAGCCTGCTCTTGAACGTAGCGCTTTTCATTCTGAAGAAGCTGGAACAAGTGCGACAAGAGGTTGTCGAGGTAAGGCTCAAGGACGCTCTTGTCAGCCTCCTCACAGAAGTTAACGAGCGCCGCAGCAGCATGTGACTTGACCCGTGCCTCGGGGGCGTTAAGGACAGGCACAATGGCCGAGAGGACAATGTCGTAGTACTGCTTCTGCATAGTAGGAGCAAAGTCAGTGCTCATCTGGCCGAGGGCATTGCAGCCAGCCCAACGGACACGTGGATGGGGGTCCTTGAGAGCCGGGACAACTAGGTCAAGGACCTGCCTCAGTTCACCAATCATCTCCTCGCGGCAACCTTCCGAAATGGCGGACAGAGCCATCAAAGCAGCGTGACGGTCTCTCCAAGCCGGAGAGTTCATCATGCTAGGCAACCAGCCGAAAATGGGGCTAAGAATAGAGGCGCCTCCGAGCTTGTTGGCGAGACGATCGAGACACTGCTCACCCGCGACGTGGTTGGAGTCGCTCTCGTCCGTGTCGAGATCGTCGCAGCCAAGCCATTCGGCCGCATCATCGTCGTCCTCACCAAGATCCGTCATCAAACTCAGGCACTGCGTGATCATGTCCTTGGTGTAAGAAGCATCCTTCTTGCACATGGACGGGGCGTAGTCGGCAAAGGTGGCCATAAGTTCCAGCGCATTTTGGCGGCAGAGGTCTGTGAGCTCCTTGTCTTGAATGACCGAAATACTGAATCCAACAAGGGTCGAGAAGACGGTCTTGAACATTTTGGGGGAACTTTCGGCCAAGTCGATGAGGGCGATGAGGGCCTGGCTAAGGTCGTCCGAATCCTGCGAGTCCTTGATAGGAGGAAGAATGTTCAGGAGCTGGGGGAGGAGTTCGAAGTACTTGGCCTGGTTCTTCTTTCCTAGGCTGCGGAAGAAGGCCGCAAAAGCCTCCATAGCAGCAAGCCTGACGGCAACCGACTCGTCCGTGAAGGCCTTGGCGAAGGCCATAGCTACGGCATCTTGATGTTGTTTCTCAATGATGCTAGGGGTAGCGTGAAAAATACGGAAGGCGGTCTCGCGCTTGCCAGCATCGGCTGCTTGGCTGAGGTTGAAGAGAGTCTGAAGTAGTTCTGGCCAATTTTGGTCATTGTCATAGTATTGCCTAGCAATCTCGGCGACTGCATCACCAATCTTGTTGCGAACGTTTCTGTCTGTCTCGGCAAGGATGGCCTCGAGAATCTTGGTGCGGACAGCGACAGCCTCGGCGTTATCAAGGGAAAGGAACATGTCCGTGGCGGCCTCGGAAGTCGGGGTGGCCTTGCGGGTCTTGAGCGTTATCCGGCGGAAAATAACGGCGGCAAAAGAACGGACCTGCAAGATAGAAGAGAGAGTGAGTCTAGGATTTTCAGGGCAGGCCTAAGCAGAAGAGGGACGCAAGAAGTCATACCGAAGCGTCGCTTGATCCGGCGATCTGCTCGGCCAAGCCCATCAAGAGGAGGCCGGGCCGGGAGCTGGTCCAGTTGTTTTGCAAGTGCTCCTCAGCCTGGGAGCGAATGCTGTTGTCGGCCGACTGAAGAGCCTGGAGAAGCTGGCTCAGCTCGGCCGTGACATCGGCGGGAAGGACCGACATGATGAATGATGTTTGTTGCGAAGTAAGGTCCTAGTTGTGTCTAGTTGGTGCCGTGGGGTCGGGGGAGCAGAAGAGTGAATCGCAAGCACACTGCACTCCTTAGACACAATGTGCGACCCTGCGTTGTCGTCGGCCGGCGGGCTCTGGAAGAGGTGGGATGTGGTTAACGATGATGGCCCGACAACAACAGAACTCTCGCCGAAATGTAATACGGCTTGAGGACTGAAAGAAATGCGGACCAGGGAGGACGGACTTGGTTGTGGACACGGCAACGGTGCGGATGGAGAAGCTTGAAGTCAAATGCCAAGTCGATGATGGATTTATTGATAAGAATCGAGACTTGAATGAATCAAGTCGCGATAAAGGACGCGTCCGAAACTCGACTTTGCTCCAGTCAAAGGTGGATTTGGATTGTCGAGGATTCGTGATTGATGGCTCTGGACTGGCTCGAAAGAGTCGAGGGGAATAATGGTGAGCGCAGGAGGGGGATGGACCGTATGAGAATGGACAATATTTTTTTTGATTGGGTCTGGCCAACCCGAGCGCATGGAGGGGGCCGAGGGGCACACTGTAGTGACAAGTACCTCTTCGGCATAGCGTAGGGCAGGCAGACATTCCACTTGACTCCAATTACCTCTAGGCGCCCAGGTTCCTGCCGAGTCGCTAACATTCCGTTAGGGCGCAGCGCTGTTTACTAAGGGCTTTCCCAGTGAATGGCTATCAGATGGCTACCAGAAGTCCGCTAAAACTACGGAGTGGGGCAGTGGCATCTTGTGTCCATCCGGCTCAGGCCTTCAGGTTCTTTCCCAAGCTCCAGGGCGGCCCCAGCTTCCACAACTTGTGTGCCCGGACTTCCACTGGGCATGATGATCATGATCAACAGCAAGGGAAGCAGGAGGTGATGGCCCAGAGATGGAGGTGACAAGAAATGGTGAATGGAACCTACCTCCAAAGCCCAGATGCCCGCTTCATGATAATCGATAAGAATTGTGCAGGCTGCCTTCAGTTCGCAGCTACCTCTACCTAAGATTCCGTTGGGTGCAGCAGCAACACACAGTCAGCAGCCCCAGGTGACAGCCTCAGCCCTGCTCTGACCTTATCGCCGTACATACTACATAGCTCTGCCCTATTCGCACGCCTCAGTGTGAGTGTAGCAGGACCATCAAGAATGAGGGGAGGCTAGTGCTTCCCGCGCATAGGCTAGACAGGGGCAACCCCGCACCATCACGTTAAGGTATGGGTATGCTCAGGATACGTGCCGCGGCTGGACCATCGTCATTGCTCTCCCGTTTGGGACTTGCCATAGGTTCACTCTCGACTCGACTGGCCAATGCTTTGCTTCGTCAGTTTGGTTTTCACTTGTAACAGCCCGACCTGAACTTTCTCTATCTGGACTCTGTCACCGTCACTCCATACACTCTCCTGCCATCCACTTTGATACCACTACTATCTACCCGGTCGCGCAAAGACGGCCGCGGCAACAATCCTGAAATCGCAAAGCTCGAACGATACGTTCCTGCGAGCATATACCTTCCGAACAACGGAACCGACTATGACGGCAGCGGTCACCGTGGAACTTGGCAAAGATACCAGTAGTAGCTTCCGTCCTAGATCAATCTACCGAGATTTGTCTCCAAGCTCTCTTCTTTCTTCGGTCTGATCCGCATCATTGCCGTGTCCGACGCGAGTGCCTCAGCTTACGTACAGTGTTACAACAACGGAAGCCTCGATGGAGTCCTCATCAGAAATCCCAAAATCGCCCTCGCCTGGCACCTTCCCGGTCTCTGACGCTGCCTTGTCCGGTGCCTCGCTCCCGTCTCCTCCAGAACGCCCCAGCTCTCAAGGTGGCATCTCGTTGTCCAAAACAGCCAGCAATGTTTCCTCGCATTCGCACCGCCAGAGCTTCGCTGAGAACCAACGTCATCCGCCTCCCTCGCCGCGTACACAGAGACACCCCTCGTTCACACAGCAAGCAATTCAAGACCTGATGAACCACCCACCGCCAAACCGCCATCAAAACCCTCGCTATGTCGGCCGCGATTGGCGGGACATTGCCATTGGCGAGTTATTGCAACCGGATGAGGTTAAATGGGCGGAACTGGACACTAGCATCCAAGAGGCTACCAAGGTGCGACAGTACCTCTTCTCCATGACTGGACCTTGCTGATATAGATCATTACTCACTATCCAGACCCTCTTTCAAAGTAGTCCGAACAATGTCGTTGTTGTCCGCCAGGACTCGTCCTCCAAGGAAGCCATTTCTACCTTCGACCACAGCGATCTCAACGACTACCTTTTGGTCGTGGTAGGCCTTGCAAAGCCCCAAGAAGAACAGGTCGCTCTCTACAGAGACATCTCCGTCAAAGCCCAGTCTCAGGCAGAGATTCCGTTGCGCGACCTCCAACCCATCTTCCGACATGAGGAATTGGTGAAGCTCCCGGCCGATTCCACCCTCGACAAGGCCATTGAGGTATTCGGAGGTGGCATTCACCGCCTTCTGGTTACCAATAAGGACTCGGAAGTGGTGGGTATTTTGAGTCAATTGCGCTTACTCGAGTTCTTCTGGAACGAGGCCGTCAACTTCCCTGAGATAGATCGTCTCTACACGATCGCACTGCGTGATCTTCAGATTGGGACGCAGCAAATCATTGCCATCAAGTAAGCCAACTCCGCATTTAAAAGGATGAAACCGTCTCGCTAACATTCCCTAGCGCCGATGCTCCTCTTGCGGATGCCCTCTTTCTCATGAGCTCCGAGGGCCTGACATCCGTCGCTGTTGTTGATAATGGCCACAACGTTGTGGGAAACATATCCACCGTTGACGTGCGCCACCTAACCAACGCCAACAGTCTGCCCTTGCTCAAGGCTTCGTGCATGCATTTCATCAGTGTTATCCTCTCCGAGCGCGGTGTCGAGCATGGCCGTGACTCCTTCCCGGTTTTCTACGTCAATCCGTATTCTACTCTCGCTCACACGGTCGCAAAGCTGGTCGCGACGCAGTCTCATCGTATGTGGGTGGTCGAGTCCGCTTCGCCGTCGCCTAGCGCCCCGGCTACGCCTTTACTGCAGGCATCCAGCTTGCCTCCCCTCTCAACATTATCACCTCCGGTTGCTTCCCCCGGAAGAACGGGCAGTCCTGCCTCTGGATCAGCAACGGTTGTTGTTCCTCCACCAGGTGCCATCACGACGTCGACACCCCAGTCGCCGTCAACGCAAGGACCATTTACATCGGTTCCAGCTTCAGCGCTGCCAGGTGCTGGACTGTCAGGGCGGTTGACAGGTGTGGTATCGTTGACGGATATCCTGAACCTGTTTGCAAAGTCAAGTGGCCTGAGACCGTTGGACCCTAGTGAGCAACGGGCCAGGAGAAGACGGAGCTCGAGCTCTTCAATCCGGCCCACGCTGGATATCGGGAGAGATAATGGAAGAGGGAGCGTTGATTCCCGAAGGTGATGTCCGGTGCAAAGAGACAAGAAAAGGTATGCAATTCGAACAGGCTAACGTAGAGTTGACGAATATTTTTCGATAACCGGAGGGGGCGGACTATTCAAGACAGCCTTGATATGCACGAGACAGAATGATGGATGGAAACAGAAGGGGTATATGAAACAGTAGCTGCTCAGTCATGTTATCATTACCTTCCCTGTGTTTATCTAGTAAAGACTTCGTCGTGGGTGGTTAGCAACATTGAGACGGTTGCTGTCTTATTTCTTTACACGGGGTTCCATATATGAACTTGGCCTCTCAAAGCTGTAAACGAAATCGATATACAAAATCTCTTACGACCATCAATTAGTGCAATGAACAAATGGGGAATGCACGCACACACCACAAGTTCCAACTCTAGAAATAGGTTTAACGTCTGCAAACTCTACGTTATTCATTCAGTGGTCTGCCACCCTTTCCCTCGTAGTGGTGAAGAGTGTGTGGCTTTCACGTAATAACGACATTATGAGGTTCTTAATACTGATACGAAGATGAGGGAGGCGAGTAGACTGAAACGGGGAGGCTCGTAAATACCTTCCTTCCCTCTGGGCGTACATACATTTCTAGCGACTTGTCTCAAACGACCGCATTCACACCAAGCATCCGGTTCAATACTACACCACCCACACACACACACACACATACCCCCTACCGTTCGATGGGCTTGCTTGGTCGTTCGTTCGTTCGGTAGCTCATCTACTGCCGAACGAACGACGGGAGCTCGCATTCGTAACCCCTCATTTGTACCTAGGCAAAGGCAGGCAAAGGTAGCTCGAATAGGTTAAGTACCTACTCGGAACTCGGTCAGAAACCAAGGATCGGAAAACTGCTCTCATCCTTCTTCTTCATCATCTTCTTCTTCTTCTTTCTCTTGCTCTACTTACCTACTTTCAACGCCAACACCAACACACCAACCAAGACAAACAATAACTGACTGAAGACATGAACATCATCATAACAGGCGGCGCCTCAGGGATAGGCCTCGCTCTCACCCGCCACTTTGCTTCCTTGCCCCTTTCTTCTTCTTCTTCTTCTTCTTCCCCCTCCCCTTCTTCTTCCTATTAACTTCTTCCCCCCAACAAGACGAAAAAGTATCCCAACAACAACAACAACAACAACAACAACAACAACAACAACAACAACAACAACAACAACAACAACAACAACAACAACAACAACAACAACAACAACAACAACAACAACAACAACAACAACAACAACAACAACAACAACAACGCGGTCGTCGTCACCGCATCGTAATCCTCGACATCAACTCCCTCCAAGGCCCTTCCATCGCCGCCTCCATCGCCGCCGAGTTTGACAAGACGTGTGAGGAAATAAAATTTGTCAAGTGTGATGTGTCTAGTTGGGAAGAGCAGGCGAGGGCGTTTAGGGAGGTGGTGCCGTCGTTGTTTGGGGGGAGGTTGGATTTGGTGGTTGCTAATGCGGGGATTGGAAGGGGGCCGGAGGCGGAGGGGAGGGTGGTGGAGGATTATTTTACATGTAGGGGGGATTTGGATGTGGATTTGGATGTGGAGGGGGATGGGGATGGGGAGGACGATGGTGGTGGTGATGAGCAGGGCCAGGGCCCGGAGAAACCGGGGTTGAGAGTGTTGGAGGTTAATCTTTCGGGGGTTGTTTATGGTAAGTGGAAATTCTCGTTTCATCACTCTTTGGAGGGAGGGAGGTAGGGAGGGTGTTGTATCTGGTTTTTCTTCATTTCTGGGTTCTCAGGTGTTTGGTGTCTGTCTGAATGGGACCGTGATATATGAGTTGGATGGATGATGATGGGCTGAAGAAAAAAACGGAAATGGAATACTAACTAATCTCCGACCTTGCTCGTGATACACAAAAAAACAGCTGTCAAGTTGGCGAGTTACTATATGAACAGGAACCCTCTTCCTGCTCCAACTTCTCCTTCTACGGGATCAGCATCATCAAAGCCACCAAGAAGAGGATCGATAATCTGCACCGCATCCAACGCCGGACTTTACCCGTTCCCCATCTCGCCGTTATACGCGGCCTCCAAGGCCGGGGTGATTGCGCTGGTCCGTTCCGCGGCGAGGGTTCTGGCGAGGGGAGACATTCAGATCAATGCTTTGGCGCCTGCTACTCTTGGTTAGTTTGTTTGGCTTCTTTTTTTTTTCTCTCTCTCTATCTTCTTTTTGTTTCTTCTCTCTTCTCTCTTCTTCGTCGAGATCCTCTCAAACCCATCCATCTATCTTCCTTTCCCCCTTCCTGCCTCTCCCACAAACACCCACCCACCCACCAACCAACCAGCACACCATGTACCAAAGCTAACCCCATGCGTTTTTACAACAAAACCCACAGAAACAAACATAGCCCCTTCCAAGGAGCTCTTCAAATCCATGACGCTAACACCCATGGAAGTCCTGCTCCGCGGCGTCGACATGTTCCTTGCGGATCCGAAGCTGACGGGGCAAGTGGCAGAGATCCACGGGAATGGGACGGGGGCAGATGATGGCGATGGCGGTGGCAGTGGCGTGACGATTCGACCGCATCATGAGTTTGTGGATGAGGCTAGCGAGAGGAACATTGAGGCCTTTTGGGATTTGGGATATGCTTGACTTTGATTTTCTGATGGAGAGGGGGAAGGGTGAGTGAGTGTCTTCTGGCTCACGCGGACTTTCTGTTCCATGTTATTGAAACATCACACAAACCTTATCAACTTCAATCAACACGACTGAACGCAAATAAATGGCCGACAACGCTCATCCATTTTGTATAGGCAACTACCAATAATATTTGTTTTACCTGCATGATAATTTATGCATATCTAATAATTGAGCAGGGTATCATCCAGCAGAGAGGTTTCCATTCCATTCCGCTCATCCCATTCACATTTCGCTGTCCCTCCCCTTAACTCCCCACTTTCCCTGCCTGCTGATGGGGGAAAAAAAAAGATAAATAATAATGCCCTGCCCTATCTGCCAACACCAAACACCATCATAGCCAGTGAAACTCCATCTTTCTCGCATCCACCCTCCCACAAAGAAAGAAAGTCGACAGTGATAACAGAGCTCTCCGGCCAGTGTAGTGATTTATGTGTAAGTTGGACAGAAGTTGTAACCGTGGCAATGGTCTGTAGTATACAATACAGACAAAGACCAAATGCGCAACGGCGTATCATAATGTATGTGATGTGAAGAATGGGTATGTAACGAGTACCAATATGCCGAGTAGAATAAAAAACGCCCTTTGTCTCCCCATCCAGAGTAAACACCCAACCCAACCAATGCTAAAGCTTCCCAACTCCTTGTATCCATGATGTGATGTGATGCGGCCAGAATCAAAAAAAAGAAAATCGTGACGAGATTAAGGAACAGATCCCACCAAGTTCCAGCATAGCGCCGTGAGGCATCATTGCCGTATATGTAGGTTCAAGTTCCACGTCCCCTTCATCAACCCCTCTTACCAGATTCAGTCCATTAGGTGGCTCAAACCACCCCAAGAATAGACAGCCCGCGTCATTCGTCGTAAGTTTATATCATGATTTGTTGAATCATTATCGTCGCTGCTGTTGCAAAATAAAGAGAAAGGATGTCCAGAGCTAGCGCTGCAGCCTGAGCACCCATGTTGTCCTCATACCATCTGCCACATGAACGCAGGTTCCATTTGCGAAGCAGACAATAGATGGTCAGAAGAAAATTCGAGTAGACGGAGAGGGAAGAGCCTGATGGAAGAGCCTGGTGGAAGAGTGAATGCTCATGGATGATGAACAGTATGGACTTTTCCTGTCGGTAACGAATGTAAAATGTTGCCGCCTGGGGAAATGAAGAAGAGGGTTCGTAACTTGCTGCTTAAGCAGCACAGAAAACGAGCCTATCTCTTCACGTTCCAGGTGTACTCAATGAACGTCCACAAGGAGTGTAGTGTTCGATCAAAGAGGATGTCGTGCATACCCATGCCGATGTGTTGGCCCAGTCAAGTCAAATATGACTTTGCGCTTCCCGTTTCAGAGAAGGTTTCGATTGCGATGCAGCTGCTCAGAGGCAGCTTTGATGTAGAATGCGATCTGCGAAACCGCTTTCTGTTGTGTCTGGTGCTTGTCGATGTAAGTTGTTCGAACGGTTGAAAGGAAGAATATGAGAAGAAATAATGCCGAGGTCGCCATTTTACCATTTACATGGTAAACAACATGGTGATGAAATGTAAAAATGCCGCTGTATGAAAAAGAAGCCGAAAAAGTAGTGCCGCAGTGACCGCCGATATATGCGCCGAAATGAGAACCGGACAGACGATGCCGCATAAAAGAAGACGAAGATGAAGATGGAGCTGAGGAGTGAGCCACATAGCTCAACAACTCGAGCGGTGACGAGACCTTGTAGCAGATGCAATTACAAGTGAAATGCAAGTATGCTGATCCGGTTTGGAAAGCCGGTATCAACAAGCGTACAACGCTTGCTTGTCATTGTTGACTAAGAATTCCCAAGTGCCCAGTCAGATCCCCATCAACTTTCTTACTGCGACTTGCCCACCGACTCGACGGTGAGGTCCAAAAGCTCTTCACAGAAGTCGTCAAGCTCGATGATCCTAAATCGAGAACCCCATCTGGAGGTGAACTCCGGATCCCGCCAATCTCCCGCAATGTTGTTTTTCCAGCCGTAGAGCTCAATCTTCCAGCCGCGAGCCAGTGCCCGCTCGGTGTTCTTCTTGAAACCGTCCGAATACTCGGCGCACGCAGCATCTCCTGTAGCAAGAACCATGGTGCCGGGGTTCGGAACATCTAGAGCGCTCTGCAGGATCTTCAGGTGGAGTAGCTCATCAACACACTGTTCACTGCGCGATTCAGGACCATCGCCTGAACCTTCAGAGCGGCGACCATATTTCTTAGATTTCTTGCTCAGATCCAAAGAAAACGGCTTCGCAACACGTGAGAGAATGCACATCTCGTATTTGAGCTCCGCGGCTTCCGTCATGTAGTCTGGACGCCTGTAGCTGTGATTGCTCACAGAACCTGCAACGACCCTCTTCTCGACCTTTCGGCCACGAGTGAGGATTGTGTCAAAGTTCTTGAAAGAGAATGGCACTTTAAGCCGCTTTTGAGGCGAAAAGCCACGGCTCTTCTTCATGGTGTCGTAGAAGCCGATGACGATGTTGGACAGATCGACAAAGATATGGACGGTATTCGATAGAACTGCGTTTGTTCCAGACGCATACTCCATCTGAACCTCCTTGTCCTTGGCCCTCAAACCAGAGAGCTTGTCGAAAAGAAGACGAGCCTTGTCTTCCTTGGTTGTCCAATAAGCCGGGAGAATGTCAACAGTGCCGAGGAGAGGATGTTTCACCTCGTAACAAGTGATGTTACTGTACGGCTGAGACTTGGCCACCTGATACTGATTCTCTGGGCGTTGGAGTATGGTATCTACCGCTGCCTTAGCTGACCCCTTGGGTTGTTTGACCGCGGTCCTCGGACTATCGGTGCGATTTTCCTCGAGCTTGGCAGCGATGGGAGTGGCAGGCGACGCCCACGGGTAGGTGTAGTTGGCCGTCACGTGGACATTACCAACAGGTCCATAAAAGACATTTCCAGCGTAAATGAATGGATAAGGATTGGCAAGCGGAGCCAGGCTACCAGGACTATACATCGGCTGTGTTCCAATGAAAGGCCCGTTGGAATTCACGTATGTAAATCCAGCTGTGTTTCCCACGACTGGCAGAGGTGCAGACTTGGGTGTATTGACCGAAGCCAACGGGGTGGGTGATGCAGTGTTCCCGCCGCTATTCCTGGCCTTGGTTTCAGATCTCGGCTGCGGTCTCTTCAAAATGGTTATGGCGGGCTTCGGGAGAAGCGTGGGTGAAGGGGTCGAGTGGGAGGATCGCGGGCTCCCTGATAAAAAAGAGCGGGCGGAGCGGGCGGAGGTGTCACTGCCATGTGTAGGGCTCGACGTAGGAGTGGGGAATTTTTGGTCTTTGACAGTTGCTGTCGCTCGTGGATCGATCTTGAGATCCTTCTTGCGCGAGGCCGGACTTGCAGAATTGTGTTTGGATTCCTTGATTGCCTGAATCATGGCAGCTTCAATCTCATCGGCACTCTTCGGGTATCTCGCAGTTTTCTTGGACTGCTTGGTGGCCTTGAGAGATGGAGCGCTCCCACGTTGGCAGGCCTGTTTTTCCTCCTTCCACTTCCGTTTGAGGGCATAGCCAACCCTGTCGATGTAGTCGTTAGCAGCCTGCTGGGCGTGTGCGTCGGCGGTCTTGGTGTCGCAGCCCGCATTCAAAGCCTTGTTACGGACAGCCCAGTATCTGCGGGCGGCTTCGGGTTCGGAGTCATCCACAAGCTTGCTCATCTCCTCATGCATGCGTACGAGCTCGGCGTAGTTAGGGTGGGACATCATAGCCACTACTTCAGGATCGGCGGTCTTCCGGAAATCGTCCCAGTTGGGTGGCTCCAAGACCCTGGAGTGGGGAATAGCCTCGAGTTTGACAGTCATGTCGGGCTGTTCGCAGATGCGGAACTCGCATTTCGTCTTGGAGAACAAAGTTTCTTGATCGGCTGGCGAAAGTCGAGCGACGGGAACTGCGAGGGGAGAAATACGCTGAGGGTATGATTCTCCCCATTTGCCGACCAGAGAAAGGTCGGAACCGAGCCGACGGCCCTCAGGCTCGTTGCGGCCAAAGAACGAAGTCGCCATGATGGTATGATAGCACCAGGCTGGGGTGAGGCCCCGTTGGCGTGGGGATTGGAAGGGCGAGTCGGGGAGACTTGGCTGATGTGGCGTGGTGAGACCCGAAGTGTTGGGATGTTGAAAGAGATGGTAAGGATATCTCTTGGTGGACTGGCGACGTGAGCAAATCCAAGGAGGGAACCAAATGATGAAGTCGAATGGAAGGGGCCAAAAGACCGGGCTTCTTGTCGGCGGGTTGTCCGGCGGGTTGGTGGACAAGCGGGTGAATCCGAATTGGTCGGTCGGGCTCTGTTCTAGAGCAGAAAAAGGTGATCGAGGGCGGGGGAACGATGCTGAATAACAAAAAGCATTGTAAAGGCGCCGCCCATGCTATGAAAAGAAGAGAGTGCTTGCGACGGAGGTGTTTACCTTAGGAACACCAGCAATGCAGCGCATAAGAGACAAAAAAAAGATCGAATAGGACTGCGCAAGGCGCGGGGAGGTTGAAGTGGTGAGGGCGGTTGTTCAAGTTGGGTGTGCCAGCTTGCGCAAAAAAAGAAAGCAGCCGGTGGTGATTTCGAAAGGTGAAGGTTGTATTTGAATGGTGGTAGGTTCCAGAACTTCCAAAGACCTTACGCGACTGGAGAAGGTGTCGAGGTGAGATGAAGTTGAGAAAGGACGACAGGAAGGCGAGAGCGGCTGCAGTGACGGGCGCAGGCTCGATTGACGGGTACGTAATGCAAGATGGAGACACCAGGCAAACCAGCCTTAAGTCCAAGCCGCGGCGTGGCGTGGCCTGCGTGAGTGAGTGACAAAAGGATGCTTGCAGTGCTTGACCTGCTTGCGGTTTATCTGAGGTTTTTATTAGCTGTCAGGGTAATTCGATGGGAATTGAAGTTGGCTTCAGGAAGACTGACTCGTTTGAGGACTCGTTCTCCAAATATCCCGGGGAAGGTGGTGAGGAGGTAGAGTGGAAGAGGGGGCAAATTATCGGTGGTGACTTGATACAGTGGCAGCCGAGGGCAGTGCAGTGAGTGGGTGACCCCAACAGCGAGAGGCCCAGCCGGAGATCGAGAGATGGATTGACGGGATTGGCTCAAGGCTCCGGCACCAGCTGGCAGGCTTTGGGCATTTGCTTTCAATTCGGACCGTCAGGATGGCACGACGGGATTGTGTGGCCAATGATTGGAGGTTTTCTCAACTCTCGAACCCGGACTGTACAGTAATTCCAATCAATGTAAGGTACCTCCACGTTGTACCTTCTCTGGTCCCCAAGCCCTCACTGCAGGCCGCAGAGCCTCAAAGCCCCTGTAGAAGACGTGAAGAGCACTTAAACCCATTCAAGCGCTGATACCGGATCAGAAGTCCGAACACCGTTGTCCTCCATTCAAGTCGAAACTGTCTGGTCCCGTGAATCCGGATCTGCTTACCAACCTTCGCCTCTCATATTTCAGCCTTTAAGCCTCAAAATGGCCTCCGCGAAGTCGGCGGAATGGCGCATCATGGACCGCTGTCTAGGCTGTCTCACAAGTTGCCCTGTGACAAGTATAGGATCACGCCAACAGTGGATCAGCGTACTGGATCGCTCATACCGGATACGTAAGTACCGTACATCAGATGTAATCAAGCTGTCAGGGCTTATCCGTTATCGGACTCGTTACCTAGGAACCTTGATGGCCATGTTTGTGAGTTGTGAGGGGACTGGTTGTATGTTATCGTTATCAGCCTGTTCAAGTTGTGTCGAATCCAAGATTTTGACTATGTTGGTGGTAAAGGTTTGGTGATACTCGTCAGTGAAAATTCTTCAGAAGCTGATCTCCCGGCGAGACTTAGTTCGCCGTCTTCGAGCCATAGCACCATGTGATATTTTAACCCCTAAAGCTAGAAAGTCGATGAACAGTTGACCAGCTTGTTGAGATTAGACGATATACTCCTAAGCATATTCAACAACTCTAACCAACCATCTCCCTCTGCCAAAGATCCGAGTTCCGTGTATTTTTTTTTTTTCAAATCCCTACAGAACACTATCATTTTACCGCAAAAATCCCTGTGAATAATCCTGGCGAGGATATCGTGCACTTGGCGTGTGCTGATCCACCTCAGGAAGCTTCAGCACTGACCCAAGTAAACGACGCCATCCGATCAGAAACTCCTCCATCATGAACACTTCCAGTACCACAAACCTACTCCGTCCCTCTGCCACAAAGTGACCTCACCTCAAACCGGTTTGGAATTTGAAGGCTTCTGCTTGGAACCTGAAGCTTCCTAAGCCTTCACCCCCGTCGCCTTGACGCTCGTCAAGCCCTTTTCGTCGGCGAGAAAAGCCTCCTCCAACTGTTTCCGTTCCTCCTCCGTAACCAAGCCCTTCTTGATCTGATCCTCACACCACCACCTCAAGTTCTTCTTCCTAATCTCCGCCTCCGTTAGCCCCTTCCCTGCTTTGCCTCATCATCTCTTCCCATTCCTCCCTGCCCCCTAGCAGTTCCTCTAGGTGCTTCGTCCCCTTCTGCATCTGCTCGCACCACTGAAGGATGCCCTCCTCCAGCAGACTCAACGCCTTCTTGTGCTCATCGCCCTCGCCATTCGCCTTGTCCTCAGCGGTTTTGGCAGCTTTGCGCTTGTTTGCCTCTTCCTGTAGCGCCTCATCCCGTTCCTTCCTCTTGCGCCTGCGCTCCTCCTTGAGGGCTTTGATGCTCTCCCAGTGAACACTGTGACCCAGCCCAGCGTACTGCTCCGCTACGCCGCCATTGCGAATAGAAGCCCTGTTGAGGGGCGGCGCGGTGAAAAAGAGGACACGTCCTTGATCGTCCGTCTGGAACTGCTTCTTCACCTCCTCGGGGATCTCACTGTCGATGTTCTCGGCAAGGGTGTAGACCTCGGGGGCACGCGGGGCGTTGTACGCATTACCAGCGGCCGGACCTGGGGCAAGCTGTTGTTGCATGGTTGGCGGGTGCTGCTGGATGGGAGTTCCCATCGGAGGTGGCTGGTGGTGCCTGTTAGGCGTGGGGAAGTTGGGCGCTATCGGCGACGGCTGCGGATGAGAATGGGGGTGATGCGCTACCGGCACGCCTATGGGTACACCAGGGTGGTGGGGCGGGCCGACTCCGAAGGGCTGTTGTTGTGGTGGCGGCGGGTGCGGGTGCACCGGCCTGTGATGTGGGTGATGAGGGTCGTACTGGGGCCCGGGGGGCGGCGCCGGAGCGAGCTGGCTTTGTGTGGTCGGGTGGCCGTGGTGGATGTATTGAATTTGCTGGTAGGGTTGGTGATGTTGTTGTTGTTGCGGCGGCGGCGGCGGTTGGTGTGGAGGCTGAGGAATTGGGACGTGTTGTGGCCCGGGACCGTGGTACGGAGGAGGTTGTTGGTGCGAGTAAGGAGGAGGCTGCTGGTGTGGGTAATGATGGGGGCTTGGCTGCATCGGGGGCATCCCGGGATGATGGGGCTGCACGTGCATGGGCATGCCGGGCATTGGCTGGTGCTGATGCTGGGGTCCTAGTGGCTGCTGATGGAGACCCTGATGGGGATGCGGTTGCAGCTGCGGTTGATATTGATGGATCGGCGGCGGCGGGTGCGACTGCGGATGACCGTGAATCTGGACGATGTGAGGAGCGATGCCGTGACCCTGAGGCGGCGGCTGCTGCTGCCGTGGTGCGAAATGCTGCACGTAGTGCTGCCCTCCAAACGCGACGAGTCCACCAGGTCCAGGCGCGGGAGCGACAGACGGATGGAATGTTGGTGTTCCTGGAACGCCCGAGAACGACGGACGGTGCGATGATCCGGGGCCAGGACCAGGACCGATGGCCAGCGGCACAGGCGCGATGGATATTGGGTGAGCTTCTGGCGGAGGCGACTCCTTGTTCGAGAGATATGTCGTCAGCTTACTACTTCACACGCTTCTTTTCCAAACGGTTTCCTAGTCTGTCCCACTGTGGAGGTAGGGGAGGAGCAGGGAGGTGTGACAAGCTTTTGTCTAATGCAAAGAAGGTTTGACGGAAGCGCGCAGGGAGCCTTGTGTGTGCCGAGAGCCGTTGGTGCGGCAAGAGGCAATCGGAAAGAGAAAAAATTGTTTAGGATGAGTGAAAGAGGAAAAGGGTAAACCAGTTCAAGGGATAGAGGAAGTGGCAGGCGGGGAAAAAAGTGAAACTCGAAAGTTCAGAACGAGCCAAGGTTGAGAAAAAAAATGAAAAAAAAATGAAAAAATATACAAGGGAGGCATTGACAGGTTGACTCTGGCACTAGCACAGGGCACTTTGCTACTCGGTCCCAAAACGAGGGATGACCCAGGGCGTGGGAGAGGATGGGTCGAGTCGTGAAGAGTGAGGCTGCGAACGAGCAGTGAAATCAAACATGAAGAACGGGATGACAGAACCAGGAAGAAGCACCGAGGAAAAGGTGAATGGGATGGATGAATGTGGGGTTTGGAAAATTCTCAGGAGCACGCGCATTGAGAGCCACTTTGTTTGCTCTCCTCCTCCTCTCTGGAGGGAGCAGCTCTTATGGGCCTGGCAACCTCGCAACAGAAAACAATTCAAAGAATGAAGCTCAAGGAAATCAACTTCGCTTACATTGGGCTCTCGAGGGCGCCGGTGGACCGCCCCAATGAGGGGGGGCGCATTCGGGCTCCTCCACGTCGGTTTCGGCAAGTCATCCGTCTCTTTGGCGTCGGCTTGCAGCAGATGCTTGATAGGACTGGGGATCTTCCTCATGGTGCGCGGCACGGGCCAGAGATCCATCTCATAGTCCTGGTCGCGAACCTCTTCGGGCAGACAGCTGGACCACGTTTTGACCTTGTTGAACTTGCATTTCTCTTCGTTATACCGCGCCTCGCAGACATACACCATCTTGTTAAAAGGCAAGCCGCGAGGACGACCCTTGGGATAGCGGGTAATGAACATCACAAAGCATCGGTCCTCAACTTCTTCGATCCGGTGGTCGCGATACTGACCTGTCTTGACCACCTCGTTCTCGTAAAAGAACTTGTCATAGCGATGGACCGTCTGCTCTGGGCGATAGAACCAGCAGGCGTTCACCCACTTCTGGCCAGACTTGTCCGACCACATCCGGTAGATCTGCGCGACGATGGGCTTGGAAAGATCGTTGGGATTACGGATGTGAACCCAGTCACCTATGGTCACAGTCAGCCATCTGAACTCAAGCTCCTTGGTGTTTGCGCCCTGCTTTCAGGTCCGGATGAATACATACCCACTCGCCACAGCTCGCCTCCGTGCTCAATGCTGTCCAAGGGCAGCTTTCCATCTGCATCGCGAAAGTCATCGTCGGGCTTGGCTTTTTCCTGCTCCACGAGGGCGCGCGCCTCTTTTTGTAGTTCAACCGCATCCTCATACTCTTCACTCCCCTGTTCGTGGAAGAGCTTCGCATTCTCAAACATGAGTTCCAAGTCCTGGAGCACTTGGTCGAGATTCTGGTACTTTTTACGCTTGTGCTTCCTGATGATCATATCCAGCGCAATCGGGTTGCGCACAGCGGCGTAGTATCCCGGGCTTTCTGACTTGTCAGGTAGCCTTTGAAAGTGATTGATGCGCACATGGCCATTTTCGTTCTTGAATTTTCGCAGCCCCTTGAGCAGGGCCTGTATCCTGGCTTCTTGTGGCGTGAGGACCTTGGGGGGTCTCTGGTGCTTCTTTTGGGCCTCATCATCGTCGTCGTCTTGTTTCCTTCTTCGAGACCGGCCACCGCGTCTCCGCCCACGCCTGCGCCGCCCGTCCGAGTCGACATCATCTGAGTCATCCGATTCTGATTCTTCCTCCTCCTCTTCCTCCTCTTCATCTTCCTCTTCCTCTTCGGGAGTTGGCGAATCTTCAAACTCGGGTAACGGACCGTAGTCGGGGATCTCGGCGTCTTTTTCGGTAATGTCACCCTTCTTGACGAGTTCGGCAAGCTTTTCTTTGAAAACCTCGAGTAACCGACCGGCGTCGGAGAAGATGGGGGCGGAGGGCCTATTGTATACTTGTGCGTTGTGGCATATGCGCGTCACATCCTGAACGAACTCGTTGAAACTTGTGTAGCTCTTTTTGCCCAGCTTGCCCTGCAGTGTTGCGAAGAACATGGTCAGCTCTGGTTTCATGAGCGTAAGAATGCAAGGCATGCCAACATACCCTGATGGTGCTGAAGGCCATTGGCGTCTTGATAACCTCAAAGTAATCTGGAAGGCACCGCTTATTAACTAACCTCTGGAATCCAGAGGCAATCTCGTAGTCCCTACAGAAAAAGAGGTTAGCGTGCCAATAGGTCGCGAGGCACAGCATGAGTACCTGGACGCGGGGGGGCAGAGGGTGACTGACTCTCCGTCCACCTTGATGGTGTACCGACACAGGTACTCGGACGTGTCTCTGATTAGCTGTAAGAGATCCTTGGCAGAATCACTCTCTTCTTCGTCCTCGTCCTCATCTTCGTCCTCCTCGTCGTCGTCTTCTCGGTCGTCGGCCATGTCCGCATCTTGGTCCTTGTCGGCGGCTTTGCGTTTGTCGTCGTCGTTCGCATCGGCATCCTCCATCTCCACATCGTCATCGACGTCGCCCTTGGCCTCGATGGACTCGCGTACCTCGATCGCGTCACGGGTCGGGGCAGCAGCCATGGTATTGCTGTTGGTGTTGCTGGACTGTCGTCGCGTGGTTCTGGGGGTGGTTCTGGCGGTTGTTCTGGTCGGGGCAGCAGCTGAGGAAGTGGTGTTCCTCTTGGCGGGGGAGAAGTCGCCTCTGCTGGGGCGTTCGCGCAAAGTGGGCATCGCGGCTACGCAAGCTAGGTATGTAGAGAGCTGGGACTGTAGCGCAAGGGTGGACTCCTAGACTCCTCTTCCCGGTCGGTTTGTCTCTGTTTCTCCAAGGTGTTCCCGCCAGACACACGCACACTCTCTCTCACATACACGGTCCTCCACGCGCGGTTCAGAACACAGACACAGGCACAGACGCCCGCTGGAGCCGCACTCTGTGTTTGGCAGTTGGTTGGCGTGTTGGCTCTGTTGTTCTTGGGTGTTGGTTGGGGTTACCGTTGCCCGGGCCGCGAATCAGTCTGGCTGTGTGCGTGGATGGGAAAAAGAGGACGATCTCCTAAAAGATGCCCACCAAGGATACCTCGTGTAGAATGCTTGGGGTGTCTGGGAATGACGGGGAATGATATACGCCGTAGTGTAGTGATTGCTAGCTCTTCCTGGGGAAACACGCGAAAGACGAGGGTCCAATTGGTGTCAGCACTCAAGTTGTCCACCTTAGCCGCACGTTAACGTCTTAAACGTGCTCTTAGACGCGCCAAACCCTCGTTAGTTGCTTAGGTTGACAGTAACGGGTTAAGTTGATCGCCTTCCACGAATGCACCCCTGACCATCTGTTAGTAGGTGCTGTGTGGGCTGGACCGTGCGTGACTGCCGGAAGGGCCGATCCACTGCGGCCCCGAGCCCCGCGACGGGAGGGGGTGAGCCGGTGGGCAGCAGCTTAGCGCCTTGCTCAACGGGGTTGAAGGCCTGGACTGTTACATTACATTACATTTTAAAGACCTCTTTACAGAGCTACACCAGATCTCCTCTGTCTCTGAGGACTTTAGCTAGAGGTATGTTTCATCCGTTGTACATTCCAGATTGTATCGACACAACATGGAAGTCCGAAAAAGGAACCTGACAGCGTGGTGTTTCTGCTGTGCAATACGGGTCAAAGTGTCACGTACGGGCATGGACGCTAATGGTGCCGCCAACCCACAGGTGACGTTTAACGCCCCGTTCGTTGTTCAGCTTGAACGCTTCCAGCGTTGTACATCCATCTACCTTAAATTGTACCTATATCGGACTTCCTATACCGTAACCTCTAAGAACGACACCTCATCAACAACCTCCATCTTGTCACCTGGACTCTTTCAACCCGTTAGACAACGAACCAGTTTGAGTTTGCAGTTTGCTGTCGTCCCATCTTGGTTGACATCGTGACATGTTCCAATCAGCGGCACTTGCATGAACTGTTCCGCTTGTACCTTAACCCCTGGTTTGTCCACTTCCTCCACTTCACTACTAAAGGCCCATAACCGTTCTCTTGGAAAAGGTACACCTTGAGTCTTGAGAGACTGTGGTTACAAGAAGCTTACCATCTATCGTGACCTGAGCAGACAGAGCACCACACCGCTGGTACAGCCTTCCTTCCATTCACTTCGTCCGGCGCATACCTCCCGCGCCATAGAGGTACTATATGACCCGAACCAGGACATGAACCTGAAGCTCTTATATATCCACCAACTCTTCACTTGCGTCTTCCTCCTTGGCCAACTCTAAATACAACCCTCCACTTTCACCGAGACCTGGATAAATTTACCACCACATTCAACCTCACGGCGAAACCATATCCAGGACATCGCCCATATCACCTTCCCTCAAGCATACCATTACAACAAAAACACACCACACCAACACCAACTCCAACATCAACCCAAACCCAATGCCGCAAATTCAGTTACGCCTTAGGACGCCAAGCGGGCAAACCCGCCTTGAAGTCGACGACGAGTCCATCTTGGAGGACCTGGTGGCCCAGATAAGGACGGCCACCAAGATCGACAAGTTCTCGCTCAAGTACGGCTACCCCCTAAAAGATCTCGACATCAGCGCTGAAGCGCAAAAGGCCACTCCGCTCAAGGAACTCAAGCTGCGCGGTGAGACCATTGTGGTTGCTCCTCTGGAAAGTGCTGCTCCTTTACCGGCGGCTGAGCCAGAAAAGCCCAAATTTACACCAAAAGGCATCGAGCCGGATGAGACGTCCATCGAGTGGCCCGAAAGGGGCGGATATCTTGGTGAGTACTTATTCTAGAACAAGCACACTCTGACTCCCGTGTATAACGCTTTGTAACAAACCATATGATATGTGTGGTGCTGATTGAAATCAATCTACTACAGTCCTCCGTGTAATGCCCGACGACAACAGCTGCATGTGTAAGTTTGAACAACCCCCTTTCTTTCATAACCGCCACCACCACCACCAAACCACTCACCTCGCCCACTCATTTTCTCAACTTTTATTAAAAAAAAAAAAAAAAAACAGTCACAGCAGTAGGCGGCGCCCTCTCCATCGCCAACCCCTCCTCCGTCCTCCGCCGCCAAGTATCCGACTACATCCTCTCCCACCCGTCCCAATACACCGCCGCGATCCTCGGCTCTCCTCCCGCCATCTACGCCTCGCGCATGCTGCAGTCCGACGTCTGGGGCGGCGCCATCGAGCTCTCCATTTTATCCGACATCTACAACATCGAAATCTCTTCAATCGACGTCAAGAGCCTCCGCGTTGACCGGTTCGGCGAGGGCAAATCCCTTAGGATCCTAATCTTGTACTCGGGCATTCATTATGATCGCATCGCCCTCGCCATGGATTTGTCTTATCCCGTGGAGGTGGACGTGACGAAGTGGAGCACGGAGGACGAGGAGGTGTTGGATAAAGCGAGAAGGCTGGCGGAGCAGTTGCAGCGGATGCATTATTATACGGACACGACGGATTTTGTGATCAAGTGTGAGATGGACGGGTGTGGATGGATTGGACAGGGGACGAAGGATGCGGCGAGGCATGAGAGGGAGACGGGGCATGGGAGGTTTGGGGAGATGGAGATTAAGTGAGTGAGGGATTGGGGATGAGGGAGGAGGGGAGAAGGGAGGTGATACTGCGGGAACTCAACTGGTTAGGCTGTTTGTTGTAAGCCGGATATCAAGTGTCGTTAGGGGATTATATCCAAGCATAGTTACATTTACGTCTAGTACATAAGGAGCCGGTAGATATATTCACTTAATTTGTCCATGTTCCCGTAGTTCAGTGATGTTTCAGGGGGATACAAGTCCACAAAGTGCCGCGCCAAGGGCTGTCCATCGGCGCACGTTCGGGCGGCCGCACCAACGTCAGACGGTGGAGACCCGAGAATCCGGGGAAACGGGCGGGCGCCGGGGGACCCACTATTCTCGATGCTACGTAGTGTCTTTCTCCGCGTGTGAAAATGTTCACAAAGAAAACAGCTTCCGGTTTTGATTTTCACATGTAGGTCGCCTCCAGACAATTCAGAAGAAATTATTTGCTTTGGTTGTTACCAGAGTCAAGTCAAAAGGCAGCTAGCTCTGTTGTTTATTGGACTGGAGGCCGAGCTCACAGAGTTCGTCACGGTTACCTCGGCATAATTCTCCCGGCACCTCTAGGGTAGGACCCGGCCTCACACCAAGTGCTCACGGGATTCGGTTTTACCAAATTGACTCTCAAACATCTCAGTGGACTCGATCTGGTAGCTCTTGGAATTGATACTCCAGTCCGAGACACCAAGGTGTTCTGACGCAGACGAAGTGACGACCCAATCGGTTGTTCACCACCGACACCGACTCAGACAGCCAGAGACAGAGGCAGAGCCCTTGCGTTGGTTGCCTTTTAGCAGGAGCCCCGAGCGCTGAAGCTGAAGCCGAAGCGCTGCAGGATTGCTAAAGTCTGCAGTGTTCCAGGACAGCGGGTGTCTGAAGCACGGCAGATCATTGGTTCACGATACCGTAGCCAGCAGCCACCTAGACCTCAGCCCTACAGCGGTGGTACATACATACCATGTCCGCCGACTTCTGGGCCGGATACATCTCCGGCGCCATCGGCATCGTCATCGGTAACCCGCTTGACATCCTTAAGGTCCGGCTCCAAGCCGGTTCTTCTCCCTCCTCCTCCCCCTCCGTCTCATCTTCTTCCCTACCCACCCCAACCCCAAACTCAACCCCCTCACCAACCCCAACAGCCTCAACAGGCACAGCAGCAACCTCCTGGATCCGCCCCTTCCTCCGCGGCACCGCCGCCCCAGTTCTCGGCTACGGCGCCCTCAACGCTCTCCTCTTCGTCTCCTACAACCGGACCGAATCAGCCATCAACCAGTTTGTTTTCGGCATAGACCCTTCTTTGCCATCGCAAACGGGCGTCAACCTCTGGAGTACCTGGATCGCCGGAGCCGTAGGCGGACTGGCTACGTGGGTGGTTAGCACGCCTACTGAGTTGGTTAAGTGTCGGGTTCAACTTGCGGGGCAGGGGCAAGGATCGGGGACGGAAGGTAGGGGGGGAATAGGTAGAGAGAAGGGGTCATGGCAAGTAGCCAAACATGTCCTCCGAACCGAGGGAATCAAAGGTCTTTACTTTGGCGGGGCGGTGACGGCGCTGAGGGATAGTATCGGGTATGGGTTTTATTTTTGGAGTTATGAGTTGAGCTCGAGGTGGATGGTTGCTGCTTCTGCTTCTTCTTCTTCCTCTGGGGAATCCTCCTCCTCCTCCTCTTCTTCTCAGGCCGGCGGTATCTTCACCTCCGAAGCATCCCGTGTCCTTCTCTGCGGTGGCCTAGCGGGCATCATCACTTGGGCGAGCATTTTCCCCTTGGACGTGATCAAGACAAGGGTTCAGACGCAAGGGATTCTTGGAGTTGGAGCTTCTTCTGCTTCAAGTGAGCAAACGGCACTCTTGGACCAGACGACGGCGGCCCAGCGGAAACAAAGGCCGTTGGGAGCCTGGGAGGTTGCCAAGTTGACGTATAGAGAGGGCAGGGTCAAGCCGTTCTTTAGAGGACTGACGGTCTGTAGTGTCAGGGCGTTTATTGTTAATGCTGCGCAGTGGGCAATGTATGAGTGGATCATGACGGAGCTTGGGCAGGGCAGAAGGGCGAAGGCGTCGGCTGCTGGAGTCGAGGCAGGAGCGTTGGGAGGGGGCGAGCTTGTTGCAATGGGTGCTGCTTGAGTTCGTTGCAGTGGAGTGTGATTTCATATAGTGGTTGATAGAGCACTTGGAATCGACGCAGTGTAGAAGCCAGTTGGATGTCATCTGCGAGTGAGCGTATAGGGAGGAACCGTAAGCAGTTGCCTCAATATCACAAGCCAGCACGACCAGCAATGGCCCTGATGCATCTGTTAGTGACCGCTATGCTTCAAATGGAAATGTCGATATCCCCTCAGCCAAGCACAGCCGGAACTCTCCTACCAAGCAAGTAAAAGTCAAGCAGTAGATTTAAGGCAAAAGATCCGTGGAACTCCAAGATTGAATGGAAAAGTGTACGATTGTGTAGAAGAGTAGATTGGCTCAAAGCCTGAGGGGGCATGGGTTTATATACACCTCCTCTCGAGGCCACCCCGGCTCCCAATCAGCCAGTCGGCTTGGGAATGGCTTCCTCAATTGTTCTGAGCTCCTTCCGTGCCCGCCATCGTCGTGATGACTTCCTTTTACTGTGCACGGTGTGCCTCCTGCTACATAAACTGCTGCCTTCCTCTATGGAGGGCTATGAAGTCGGCAATACAGGCAGGCATGATGCAGGCCTTCAGCAATCGGTCCCGACAGTAGAGCGTCCACATATCGTTCCGGCCTGGCACAGGTCATAGCACTTAGTTGTGCTTGTTTTCTTTCATTGCGGATCTCTATCGTATATCTTCCACTGCGCCCGGAACAAAGATGGACTACTCAGTTCTACCTGACTTCACGCAGAACATAGTTGCGGCAGCCCCTACCTTCCATCTAACAGTCTCGCTGAGCCGACCAAAGTAAACCAGCAAACAGGCCATCCATATGAACATACACGCACAACTCCGCCAACTCCCTGCAAACTCAACGCAATGATCCTGGAGCTACAGGTTGGGTATCAGATCCTACCAGCGTTATTGAAGCGTCATCGAAGCGCGAAGACCACGATTTTACATCACAACCTGTTGTTATAGTTGTTAGCATCGTGAGAAAACAGAGGCCACGGGAAGTAAACTTACGCAGTCGCTATCGTTCTTTCCCTGCGGGATGCCCATCTCCTCAAAAGTAGCCGGCCCATTTCCAACAGTCTTGCCATCGGGATGCTCGATGTTGGATTTCCCACCAGCTGTCCCGTGCCCAGGTAGTCTTGTCGTACTGGCTGCGCTTGGCGCTGGGCTCGCCGAAGGCCCAGGGCTATGAGTAGGTTTACTATGCGGCTGAGGCGGCTGGTGTTGCTGTACTGGCGGTGCGCTTGCTATCCTTCCGATTCCAGCTCCTGGTGGCCCCTGGCCTCCACCCGAGCCCGGTCTGCCTCCGGCAGCTAGACTGTCCAATCTATCTGGCCTTGGCATGGGACCACCGTTTCCGGGAGTGGGAGTGCCGGTCGGGAACCGCCCAGGCATAGGAGGAGCAGCCTGTCCATGGCCATAAACATCGCTGTTTGGTCTGCTGCTTGTCCTAGGACCATAGCCTGGCTGTGCGCCACCGCTCATAACGGGCGGAAGGCCTGGACTTTGCTGAGGACTATGCATGGCACCTCCAACCTGCTGAGCCGGAGGATAATTGCCAACATTAGGATTGGGCTTCTGCAGTCTTTGTCTCATGGGATCGCCAATGGGTGCAGGTGAGGGCGGAATGCCAGGACCAGCACCTCCACTCATCCGCTGTGGCGATGGTCCAGGACCAACATCCAGTGGAGGGTGATAGCTGTTTTGTCTGTAACCAGGCTGAGGGCCGGAGCCAGGTCCATGACCGGGGCTGGGCTGTCTGTACCCAGGTGAGACCTGCGGTTCCCAAGCGCCAACGGCCCCGGGAGGAACTCGGCCTCGGGGGCCGGGACCTTGTGGGCCAGGGCCTTGTGGTACAGAAGGACCGTTGGGGGAGTTGGGTCGGATCCCGAAAGCGCTCATGGGCCGGTCGGCATGTGGGCTACCGGAGCTTGATGACGGGCGGATGCCCGGGTTAAAATGAGGTGCTAGTGGTTTCGCAGACAGATAGTTCTGCTGCATATGTGGAGGAGGAGGCGGGTGATGATGCATATCGTCTTCCGGATAAGGGGCGGTGTTAGTACGCGCTCTGAGCGGCGGAGGCCTAGTGTCCTCGGGATACGGTGCCGTGGACTTGGACCTCAAGGTCAGGTTCAGGTTCGGGTTCGAATCAAAGTTGACCGTAAAGGCGGGCGGTCTATTGGAGTTTCGTGCAGGATCCGGAAAGTCAACCTGATCATGAAAGATTGCCGGTCCCTGAGACGCTTTGACAGGAACTGGAGGCACGTTGTCGCCGGGATCACCCTCACTCAGGGTAGGCAACACTTCCGTGGGCCTGGTAAACCGATCAGGGCGCTTGCCACGCTGCGAGCCGTGCTGAGACTTGATACGCGTAAGTGTGGTTGTTTCGTGGTCCTGCTTCGTCAGCGTCTTGGACTGGCTCAGTGAATCCAGTCTGCTCATGGCATCCTTGTTTCCATGCTCAGCCGCCTTTTCGTACCACTTTCGTGCCTCGACAACATTCTTTTGAACATGAATACCTATTTCATGATAGTATCCCATAGCGAACTCGCCTGTCGCTAGGCCGGCGTTGGCTGCGTCCAGAGCGTACTTGTACGCGAGTGCCTCATTCTTGGAAAAGGCACCCTCGAAGCCGAACAGAAACCACCTACTGACACCCAACGCGGCTTCGCTTTGTCCCTGGCGGGCAGCAAGGCCGTAGTAATGAAGGGAGTAGGTTGGATTGAAGTCGCACCCGAGCTGACTGAGCTCATACGCCTGGCCCATCTTTAGCTGCGCCTTGGGGAAGCCGAGGTATGCCGCCTTCTCGATGTACTGACGAGCGACGACCAAATCGAACGGGAGAATGTCTTCGGGAACGGTAATGTCGGGAAGCTCTCGGGAAAGGAGCAGGCCGTACACATAAGCGCCCTGCGGAGAGTCCTCATCGGCCGTGTCGGCTGCAAGCTGGATCATGTCGAGGCCCTGGAGAATGTCCTTGTGAAAGCCGTGCTGGCCCATGAGGTGTATCATGCCCAATCGGTAGTTGGAGGCGGTATCCTTCATCCTCACGCCGGCCTCGTAGTGCTTGATCGCATTCGGGATGTCGTTGGAGTTTTCGTAGAGCATGCCCATGCGGTATTCGGCCCTACCGTATCCGTTCTCTGCCGCCCTCTTGTAGTGGGCGTAGGCTTCCCGCTTATTCTCGCGATATCCAAACTTGCCGAACTCCAGCCATTTTCCCTTCATAAAGTTCGCCTCGGGATGATCTTGGCTTGCCAGGTACTCGATGATGTTGAGAGCGTCGACGCGCAATTCGTGCTCTGTCGTAGGAGTCGACGGCCGTTCCCTTCCCTTCCCATCGCGCTTCCAGTCTCTGGCGGCGGCCTCTTGGGCTATGTCGACCCAAATTAACGAGTCGCGCGCCCATGTCACCTGCATCGAGACATTGTTGGAGTGAAGGACCAGGGTGCGGGCCTGGTAGAGGATCTCTTCCTTCTCCTCGTCGCTCGGAGGGATGTTCTCGCCCTTGACCTTGGGGAAAGGGGAGAACGAGGGCGCGTCCATGGCTGTCGACCGGGCGCCGGTGCTTTGTTGGAAAGGCTTGAACCTGTTTGTTGCCCACCAAGGTTGGGCAAGCCGTCAGCAGCAGGTCCCCTTGCATTTATATACTGCGGTATACAGCGCATCGACATGTGCCATATGCGCATAAAAGCCCCACCCGGAGGGGATCCTGGAACTCTGCTGGAAGCCAGCGTACCGGTATGGATCCCCTCCCCTGGGCAGGCCGGTCGGTGGGAATCAGGCCGAGCACTTACGTCTTTGCGTCTTGTTGTTGGTCCTTGTTCTTCGCACTACCGATGGCGCTGTTGTTCTTTTGAGGATCGACTTCACGAGCTTCGAGTTCCATGCGTTGGATGTCCTCTTGCATGTTTTGAGGCACCTCTGGCATTACCCTGTAGAAAGATATCGAAACATGTCCGTCAGCCTCTCAGCGCTCGCCGTTCAGCGGCTCAGCCCTCCACTCAGCCCTTTTCCACCTGCTGGCGGAGCCTTGTAGCAGATCCGTCATTTCGCAAGCCATGCAACTCCGGGTTTTGCGCCCCGCGTCTAATGTTACTTGATCGGACCCGACGGCGCAAAACAAAGTTGATAATTTGCGGTCAAATTGGCGCACTTGTAGGGCAGGAACGCGGCTTACCGTTGCGGGGCTGGAGCGACAACTTCGGGCATGAAATAGTCATCATAGCCTCCAGGGACAAACGTTGCGCCCAAGGTTGGCATTTCGGGGGAGTCGCTTGCTGTAAATAGGGCCAGGGGCAACAGTGGTGACAATGGTTCCGATGGCTTGGCCGCGCCTGTATAAGTTCCCGAAAACGTATCTGTCAGCACATCCGCCAACTTGTCCAGAATGTCCGGTCTGACAACTTGTCCGGTAAACCCCGTCCAAAAGCATACAGTAAAATAGTGTGAGCAGCGGTTCCCCCACTTCCGGTGCCGTGGTAGAGAGGTATGTAGAGGTAGCGTAGTGGGTGCAAGCTTCGTCGTTGCGATGGCCGCAAAGAGAGAAAGGGAGAGAGGGGTTGCGGGGACGTTTGCAGGGGAACTTTAGCAAGTCAGGAGGGGCGCCAAGCTGAAGCTTTCTTAGACGTGGGATGCTGGGATTGTCGTGTCTTTGATGATGTCGATGGTTGCGATGACAGAAAAAGTCAAAGAGAAGAGAAGCTCGGTATGTCGAGAACGGAGGAGAATGCTTCCTATACGAAAAGCAAGCAAGTCAAAAGTCTCTTGTGTCCAAGGGAGCGCCCGTGATCTCACGACTCGCCAGCTCGACACAGCCAGACAGTGCGACCCGCAGAGCTATTTGCGCATTAAAGGTAAGGTAGGGCACCCATAACTTCAAGAAGCAAGGGTGAAGGTCTTGAGAGCTTGCTTGGCTCACACCCCTTAGGACAATATGCAGTAATTCCATGGCTCAGCGGACCAGCCCGAATCCAGCGGCAACAGTGTGGCTTGGTGGTGCCTGACCCTATTTTTTGAATCGCCTCCTAGGGTGTTTCGAGAGTGAAGATGGCAGTGATGGTCGGAGATCTTGAACTCCTTAATATCTCCCACTGCCTTGCCTGGTTTTCTCGCAACTGAAGAAGAGCCTCAACTCCTCAACTCTGGAGCGAGGTGTGTACTGTATATACAGCAATGCAGTGACTCGATGACAACTTGGCGGCCGCTGGGAGTTCATGTTCGACGTTCTTGGCTCTTGACTGGTCAAGTCCGTCGAACATTCGGTGCAGTGGAAGACTTCCACATTCCAGTAAACCC